AACGCTTTATCCACTGAGCCAAACTGGTTATGGCAGTATTTGGGATTTTAAAATTATCTTTTTATGTGGCCAGTAAGTGTTTGTGCATTGACTGTGGCCTGGGCCATTGTGGTATGAACTAGTTAGGAGGGAACAGAGGCAGGAGGAGGTAACTCCCACCTGACACTTTTGTTCTCCCCGTCCGCCCACCTCCCTGCTTCCCCACCAGGGATCGCCTGCTGGATCGCCCTGTGTGCTGTGGAGGCCCTCCCCACCTGCCCTTTCTCCTGTAAGTGTGACACCCGCAGCCTGGAGGTGGATTGCAGTGGCCTAGGCCTCACCATGGTGCCCCCAGACTTGCCTGCTGCCACCCGAACTCTCTTGCTCTTGAACAATAAGCTGAGTGCCCTGCCAAGCTGGGCATTCGCCAATCTGTCCAGTCTGCAGCGGTTGGACCTATCCAACAACTTCCTGGACCAGCTGCCCCGCTCCATTTTCGAGGACCTGACGAATCTGACTGAGCTGCAGCTGCGCAATAACAGCATCAGGACCCTGGACAGAGACCTGCTGCAGCACTCGCCCCTGCTCCGCCACCTAGACCTGTCCATCAACGGCCTGGCCCAGCTGCCCACTGGCCTTTTTGACGGACTCCCTGCTCTGCGCTCCTTATCGCTGCGCTCCAACCGCCTGCAGAACCTGGATCGGCTGACATTTGAACCCCTAGCAAGTCTGCAGCTACTGCAGGTTGGGGACAACCCCTGGGAGTGTGACTGTAACTTGCGTGATTTCAAGCACTGGATGGAGTGGTTCTCTTACCGAGGTGAGCACAGCCAGCCCTGCGTGGGTGTGAGGAATTGGGAGGGTCACCCCTGATCCAACGCATTTCCTGGAGGTTGGGCTAAGGTCAGGGGAGAAGGGGTGGCCCCGCCTCTTCACCAGCCACACTGGAAGTCCCAGCCGCCCCAGCTCCAAAAGATCAGCAGGGCAGGGAGGCCGGGGTGCTGCTCTCCCTCCTCCCCCACTGCTCCCCTTCTTCTCTGTGCCCTCTCCCCACTCCCTGCCTTTCTCTTCTCTTTTTCTTTTAGATGGACTCATGGTAACTTGACCTTACTTTCATAGGTTTCATGAGGGAACTAAAAGACGCAGTATACTTTTTCTCTGCATCCCACTAGATATGGCTCTGGGATTCCCTAGTATGGTAGAAGGAGAAAGAAAACAACCCTTGATTTTCTGAATACAGCAACCTCTTAAGTATCCATCATTTCTGGATGGTGGAATGTAATGTAAATCCACAGATAAAACCAAATTTTTGTTTTGATGATGATCTCAACTCTCTCTTCCAAGAACTTTTGTTATCAAAGCTTTAATAAGAAGCCAAATGGTTTTACTTTCTTTCCCTTCCCACTTTCATTACTGACTAAGTTCTATAATGACCTATGAAGTGATGAGAAGGAATGGGACAGGA